TTGAGGTCCTTAAGAAACAAGGTGAGTTTCTGACTCCATAATGAGTTGGTCTTGGCTATCCAACTGCTACCTCTCCTAGGAGCCACGGTGCTTGGGTGGAGGCTGTGGGTTCTGCAGCAAGGGAAAGCTAGGATTTAAATCTAGATCTTCATGATCGAAGCCCATGTTGCTGGAGTGAAAGTAAAATTCCCACTGGAATTTTTCTCCTGAAAGACTAAATCCTTCAATCTCTAAGACTTGGTTTTCCCATCTGAAAACTGGAGACAATAACCAAATTGATTTTAGTGCTTAATTTATAGTACCCCTATCCAAGTGTACAGATCAATTGCCGAAGATATAAAGTTTGTTATTGTGTTATTAATGCCCTGAAGACTATTTTATCAGTATTGACTCCTCAGTGTCATAGAGAAACAGCCCGGTAACACTAGAAACAACCAGACGAGGTACACAGGACTGATAACCTCTTGTCAGTGATAATTTCATAAGAGGAAGCGCAGCCTATGGAATTTGGTGGAGGGCTGAGGGGGAGGCGATGGGAATTACATAGGAAAGAGTAGAGATAAACGGATCAAAGTAGCCAAGGTCAGATCCTCTATTGTTTAAATTCTGGGGTTGTCTCTGGGATCTGAGCTTTAGATTCTGCTTGGAATCTGGGTTTTAAGCTGAGAAACTGTGTGTATGGGAGGTGCTGTTTCTATGGAGCTTGGTTAAATTTTTCTCCAGTTTCTTATGAATCATAGAGTATTGACATTTTATTTTATTTTTCCTGTGGGGAGAGGATAGCACCTCTGAAAGAAGACCTTTTAAAACATTTTCTTTGTATTGTTATATTCCCAAGGTGAGTCCTAATTCCCTCCTTCTTCTGTCACCAGCACAGAATCACACTTATGCAAAGCAGGGCTCCAGAGGCCTTCGTCTCTGGGAATTTTACTCATAGACATAAAATAGGGCACCTCTTTTGGCTAGTGGTTGCCTGAGGCCCATTGTTCAGCCTTTGTGAGCTCTGATTCTCTGTCAATACAGCGGTCACGCCTAAGCACTCTCACAGGTGAGTTTGAATCTGTACATTGCAGGTATTCATATAACAAGCATATTACTATCAACAATTCTCTGTGTATTTCTATACAGAAGTCTCAGTCTTTCTGATTCATGTCTGTATTTTTAAGTAAAATTCTATTCATGCCTGTGTATATCAAGACAGCTGCCATAATTATCCGATGATAAAGATGTTTATTACAAAAATCCCTAAATCTCATTTTTTATGTGACTTGAGTATAGAAAAAGCAGTAGTCAGACAAATGCCCCTGTGATCTCCCAGATATGGTAAACAGAGCTAACAAAGGCTGCCTTAGTAGTGAAAGACATAATCATGTGACAGGAGTTGGAGACTTTCCTCTCTTCTGTCCCTTACTGATCCACAGCCTTGACATTTGTCACAGAATGGGAGAGAACTGACAGCCTTAGACCTAAGGGCAGAAAGGGATGTGAAAGGACCATTGATCACAATTCAGCGGATGGTAGGATCCTCCTTCCAGCATTTTTATTAAGGATTATTCTGCCTTAGAATGTCCCTACTGCCCAGAAGTTATTTCATGATATAGTTTGGGCTCTGAAAAGTGCTCCTTACATGAACCCCAGACTGCTTCCCTGAGATCTCCTTTCATTCACAGTCATCCCTACCCAACTCCATCCATCTGTACAACATTACATTCTTGTCAAAGTAAAGTATCATTTGATCCTTTAAAGCTGTTTGTAATTACACTTTGCATGTGTTGCAATTCTATTTTGAGCATGGAATTTGTATTCAGTTATATTTTAAGAGGTCTATTTGTGTTTTGATTTGTTAATGTCTTCCTTAGCAATTTTTTGGTGTCATAATCATGGAAAGTTATGTGAAAGTAAGATAAATCAGGGACTTTAAGAGAGCTCAATGAAACAGGGAAGACAGAGACATAAATATAATTTTAATAACATATATATATCAAATATTACAAAGTTACAGATGATAAAATATTATTTCTACTTAAATAATAATAGAAAAATTACTAGTTTGTTGTGAGCTACATATCACACTTTCAGTTCATGTTAGATTTACTATCGATCAGTCACTTTGAAAAAAGGATTTGTGTGCTGTGGAAAATAAGAGTCAGGAACTTTAAGAAGCAGCTAAAGAAACTTTAGATAGATGATGTGGATAAGAGAAGATTACAATGTGTCATAAATAAACTTTCAGATTTAATTTACAGTGGTTTATTTATTCAGCTAAATTCTTTAATAAACATCTGCTATGTTTTTGAACTTGGGCTACTACAGTATTATCTTTGGTGATGTTTACAGACTAGTATAGGTATAGACATTTAACTAATAAATAAGATACATGAGTAAACATGCATTTTTGAATTAAGATTATATTCTGCATGAAAAGTACAAACACTAAGAAGAACCATATTCATATGATACTTGATTATGATATTCGTTATCTTATTATTGTTATTATTTTTTAAGACAAGGTATCATTCTGTAGTGTAGGTTGCTTTTGAGCTCACTATATACCCCAGTGTGGCCTTAAACTCCCGGGGATCCTCCTGCCTCAATTTCTCAAGTGCTGACGTGATAGGCATATGCCACCATCACTCGGGGCCTTATTGTTGCTGTGTGTCCGTAACATTATCCATAATGTGGAGAAAATAGATATGTGTAAGATAAGAATGCCCTTTATGAATCAGTGAGATCTGACCAGGATAGTGATTTTTACTAAGGTACAAGAATGTGAAAGCATTAAAAGTGTTCAGGCTAAGGATGAGAGATGGAGGAGATTCTCTCAGTTGGTACAAGCTAAGACTCTATTCTGACTGGACCCAAAGGGAGGTGCAACACTAGACCCAAGCCTAGGCTATATCTATGGGTAACACCTTGGAGTATTGTGACCACCAATCATGACACGTCAATTTCATTAGATTAAGAAACACCTAGCTGATTCACAGAGCATAATCCTGGCTCTGTCCGAGGGTCACAGCGGCATGGCTTCCAGTACTATATATGGTCTCTCCCACCTCCTCTCTGGCTGTCTTGCCCTCCTCTGCTTCCCTGCCACCATGAACAAAGGAGATTTGTTCCACTGCCTCTCCACATATTGTTCCTGCCTCGGATCCTGCTGACCAGGTCTTTAGTCTCCTGGAATCGTGAGCTAAATTGCACCTTTCCTCCTTTAGGTTGTGGATCTTGAGTGTTGCATTTCAGTGGCAAGAAAGCTAATCTGGGAATAATGAGCAAGATTTGCTAGATTAGTGGCTGAGTAATCATATGGAGCAGAGAATGATGAAATCCAAGGGAAGATGAAGTTGTAGCTGTGAGTGAGGTGGAAAAGTTTTCTGAAATAAAAGCAGGGTAGAGAATAGGGAAGTGCTTGCAATTTTCATTTCAGTCTCAAAGACATTCACTATGAAGTGACTAAATGTTACAAAATGACCCAGGAATGGTTCTCAAAGTGGGATTCACCTCAAGAGGTTGAAGACATATTGACAATTAGGAATGATATGAAGAGATTCTAATTTTATTGGCAAGGAGTGTTACCTAAGCTCTGGGATTTTTCATTACCTCAATTTGATCCTAGTCTGCACTCAGGATTGAGGACCACTGATGCATAAGGTAAACCCATGAGAAATATGTGGGCAAGAGGAATGAAGACTCACATTTCACTTGTGAGAGAAGCGGCTGGTTTTGAGCCAAACACAGAGATAGTATGCACAGGGTTTCACAGAGCTATGCTCAGAGTGAAGAGTGGAAAATGTAGGCTCTTTCATCATTCTTACTGTACTTACTCACTGGCCAGAGCTCTTGGCATTTCCTTGGCTACCTATTCCTCTAACTGTTCATTAAATACTGTAGCTGTATGGGCCATTTCACACCCACAGTTCATAACCACAAAGGACTGATACAGAGTTAGTGATTCCTGCCTCCCATCTATTGAGTGAATGAGATGATAACTGTTAACTCAGCTTTCATACAAAATGTGACCACACTTTTCTAATTTATTTTTAAACTTATTATACAAATTTAATTTATTATGTTTTATCACATTTATTATGTTACATTGTTATGTTGAATTGCATTACTTTAAATTTTATATTATTTTCACCTCCTGAGAGGGATTCACTTATTTCTTCCTAATCTTATGGACACTAATGAAGTCTCTACGGATTCTAGGTGAAATCTGCTTATTTTGAAAGTATTACATCATTGACAGCCTTTCAGAACTTCGTTTTTAGACTCAGAGTTCATTTGCACGTTGGTATAATTTTAACCTGAAACATTAATTTCCTTCATCATTCATATTTGTCTCTTTTCCGGCTTTCTAATATTCTTATATTCTTATATTCCAAACATTTTTCCTGCAGTAGGACAGTGGGGACCTCATGGGAACTACTTTTCTCCAGGTATTCTTGATTCCTTAAGGTCTCATTGAAATAGCTAGCAATAAATTCTTTCTGATGGCTTCAACCTACATCAAAATGAGGTTTACTTTCACCATGGTAGTGAAATTAGATTCACAACACTAAACATATATTAATTTTCTCAATATTCCTTCATATTCAAATAGTAGAATAGGTTTATTATCCTAATTTTACAAGGAAAAAACAAATAAAATATGTGATATTAAGGCATAAGTAAGTTGCCTACATCATACATCTAGTAACTGGCTGAGTAAATATTTTAACCCAAATGGGATTTATCCCAGTTTTTGTTTTTAATTTTTAAGCTATGTTCTCTCACAAGACTGGGCAATCAGAAATATCTGTCTTACACGTAATACATTAGGATTCTGGAGTTCAGAGGAACAGAAGCAGAGAATAAGAGAATGTGTGCTCCTCCCACTCACCTATTTTTTCCGTTTCTTTTCTTCAGCCTTTAAGGTGAGGGCTCAAGCAGAAGACAATAGGTGGGAACTACGTCCAGCTTTCTCCAGGGGCTGGCGAAAACAAGCTTCTGCTGTTGGTGGCATGGGAGATGAAGGCAATGAAAGCCTTGACTTCCTATCGGTCTTCCTGACTGGCATCCAGGGGCTAGAGGCCCAACATAACTGGCTCTCTGTCCCCTTCTTCATCATGTACGTTGTGGCCATCATGGGCAACAGCTTAATCATGGCAGCAGTGTGGGGGGACTCTGCCCTACATGAGCCCATGTACCTGCTCCTCTCCATGTTGGCTGTCAGTGAAGTGGGCGTCTCTGTGTCCACACTGCCCACTGTTATGGGCATTCTTTGGTTTGATGCTCGCAGGGTAGACTTTGATGGCTGCCTGGCTCAGATGTTTTTCATTCACACGTTCTCCGGCATGGAGTCAGGGGTCCTTTTGGCCATGAGTTATGACCGCTTTGTAGCCATCTACAATCCACTGTGTTATACAGCCGTCCTGACCCTGCCCCGCATCATCTCCATGGGTCTAGGCATTACACTGAAGAGTGTGGCACTCATGGCTCCGCTTCCCGTCCTATTGAGGCAACTTCCCTATTGTCACATTAACATTCTCTCCCACTCCTATTGTCTCCATTCAGACTTGATCCAGCTGCCTTGTGCTGATACTAAGCTCAACAGTATCCTGGGTTTGGCCATTGTCCTCGCCACTTTCGGTTTGGATTCATTACTCATTGTGGTGTCCTATGTGCTGATTCTCTACACAGTGCTGGGCATTGCTTCTGGGGAGGGACGGAGGAAGGCACTCAACACATGTGTGTCACACATCTGCGCAGTGCTTGTGTACTACGTGCCTATGATCGGGGTGTCTGTGATGCATCGTGCTGCCAAGCGCGCTTCTCCTTTGGTCCACACAATCATGTCTAGCATCTACCTCTTTGTGCCTCCAGTGCTCAACCCCATCATCTACAGCGTTAAGACGAGGCCAGTCCGACAGGGCATTGTCACCTTGTTCTGCTGCAAGAAGGAATTGATCTGAATGACTCCAGGGGAAGGAACTATTGTTCAACCCACAAACTCTGACTATGTTTTTACAATGGACAAAGCTGTACACTAGCCATTTGGAGGAGGAGGTTCAAAACATCTATATAGTCTTGAGTCTGAATCACAAATTATTTCTAAGTTCTTTCCTTGTCACATTTTATTTACATATGGATGTCTCCGTTTATGCACCTGGTACATCTTTATTATCTAATCAATCATGACAACTTCAGGGAAAAAAAATTCATATTTTCTGTATTCCCCAAAGGCTTCTGGGAAAAGGTCTAACAGATAGCAAGCTAACATTAAAAGCTTCTGGCTTAATGATATTGTAGTTGAAATAAAGCAAACATTCATTTTTAAGGGATGGTTAGGGATTAAGAATACTCTTCAATAAAAATCCTCCTGAGAATTTTCTTCAGAGTCTCATGAATATATTTTCTGGTTTGTTTTAGATATTGGGAGTTTACTGACTTGTTTTCTTTCAGCATAATTATTAATAACATTCTTTCCCACTCTCAAAATTGTCCTTGTTTAAACCATAAATTATCTGATAAATCTGGCTTTGAAGTAGCCTCCAGTTATGTAAGGAATCAGATTCTCCCCATACCCCACCACTGAGGGTAGAGAGCACCAATATTCATATACCTCAAGTCTCTGAGGGTATATACAGCTGAGGAAAGGACCTCAACAGAGGTGTAAATGAAAATATATGAAGAGCTTCATATTGCCCAGGCTATGGATTGTACAAATCCCAGCAAAAGCATCTAACTTTTCTTTAGTAGACTAGTTTTAGATAAACACCTTTTCCTCATTTCATCATTTCTGGATGTCTCCTTTTCTGCCTTCCTACCATCCCTTCAGCCTCCAGTACCCTTAGCATGCTCTATGGTGCCCGCAGTTTGTTTTGTTCCCTGACTATCACCACCCTTTAGCCCCCTAAACATAGGTCTTGTTGGTTCTGCTGGCTTCTGTTGGAGTTTTCCTGGAAATCTTGGACAGAGGGCTCCGTAAAGGAGAATCTGCAGAGGAAGAACAATGGGACAAAGCAGGCCTCAAAGCTGATTTTGCGAATGCTGACCCAGAAGAGCTGCAGGATGGTGGGCAGGGTGGCGAGGGTGAGACTCAGGTCAGTCAGGGCCGGCACAGAGAGAAATAGGAACATGGGCGTTGGAGAGAGGGCTCCGTGTACACGGCAGCGAGGACGGTGCTGTTACCTGCGGGGAGATGATGTAGAAGCAGCAGAGTGGGCTGGAAATCCAGACGTGCTGGTCCCCAAATCCAGGGATGCCTATGAGGACGAAGTAGAATGGGTCTTGTGTGATGTCGGTGGACATCCTCGGTGAATGCAAAATCTCTGACCTGTGTGTTCTTCTCGAACCCTCTCACCAGCACTTTATTGCCACAGAGTCAGTATCCATCGATTCAATCCAGGGCACAGGCATATATTCGGGATGGTTTTTCTACCACCACGGAGCAATGCACTAATAGGAAGCTCAAAACTGCGGGTTCCTCTTTCATTCATTTCCACTTTAGAAAAGCTCATTTTTTCAAACTTTCATATTCTGTGTTATGTACAAAAATTAGCTTTCTGCAGTCCTCTGGCAATTCCCATCCTAGTGGCTCTTGTGTGTACACCTCTGTGCCCACACAAATATGTTCATCAAGGGAAACCCACCTACTTGATACTTCAAATAATTTGCAGATCAAAATATCTAAACGCTCAATTCACTTCCTACTTGACATCATGCGAAAATGCGATTATTGCAGTTCATATTTGCTTGTTGGCAGGAGTATTGAGACAGGGAAGTATCAAAGTGATGCCCAGGTTTCTTACTTTAGCATCTGTGAATTTGGACAGAGGGGCAATGCAGGGGACGCACGTATACCATGAAACAGGCTGGTGAGAGGGTTCTCTGCAGTCCTCTGACGGTGGGACTGATTGCAGAGGGGGTGGGATGTGAAATCTCTGCAGGACAGTGGAGCCGGGGACAGAGAGTCACTCTTTGTGGTTGTTGGGAGAGGGAACGGGGGAGGACAAAAAGCAGGATGGAATTATGGTGACAAATTTTGTAAAGAGAATCAGGTAAGAGAATCAGGTAAGAAACGTAGGTGTGTTTGCACTTCTGAGTATGTGTGTGGGTGTGCGTTTGTGCACAGCAGTGGGCGGTGGGGTGAGAGAAGGGAGAGGACTGACAGGTGCACCATGCAGAAGTCCATCAGAGGGCACTTGGAGGTTTGTGCTCCACCCTTTTGCCTTCAGGACAGAACATAGGCCGGTGAATGTGTGTTAAAAAAACTTTAGGACACAAAGAAGAAAGGAGGGAGAAGGGAGGAAGGAAAGGTCTAAGCACAATATCAGTGAAAATTTGGTGACCCTTTTCCTGTGCTTACATCTTTAGGTTTGTCCCACATCTGTCCTTGTATGATAAGATCTGTCCTTTACAAGCCCCTGTCTGGTTTATTTTGGTTTCTGTTCTTTCCTCATTCACATTTTTTGATACTTCCCTTATACCTACTTCTTTCTGAGCTATCTAAAGAAACTTTTTTAGGGGCCGGGAATCTAGCTCAGCGGTTTTGGCCTGCCTTGCAAGCTCAAAGACCTGAGTTCAATCCCCGATACAAAAAAAAAATAATAATAATAATAAAAAAAATAAAGAAAGAAACTTTTTCGGGTCAGAGAAGAGGACATGTGAAAATAGGAGCAAGAGAGGTACCATCCAGTAATGGTCAGTTTTCAAGGCAAGGTTCTGATAACACTGAAAACACCTTGGCATTTATGTCCACAAGCTTGGTGTAACCGTAATAAACACAACCTGGCCGGTCTTTCTATTCATTGAGAGCACATGATAACCGCCACACGAAGTGCTTCATGTTTCCTAGCTGTCACATCTCACTCTAGTCCACCCTTCTCAGTGTGCCGCTCTAGTGGATCTGCCTAATTCTCCCCTTTGGCTCCAGAGCAACCCCTCTTCTCCCTGGCCAAGCGTCCCCCTTCTCTCGGCGCTGACTGCCATGGAACAGTCCAGCTCCCCTGAGTCTTTCCTCTCTGGTACCTTTGATGCTCTTGCCTTCTACTCTCTGCTGTGTGGTGGGCTGTGATTATGTGTTCCCTGGATCCCTGGATCCCTGGATAGTGTGGGAGGCAGGTGGGGAGGCCTCTGCAGGTAGGCTCGTTTTCCTATAGGAATATTACTGCTGCACTCTGAGACCTGAGGTCCTAGGGGAGAGAAACAGGAAGCAGATCTGTTGTTCAGGAGAAGCATCGGCAGCACAACAGGACCTTTCTCTTGGTTTGAGAGAATGTGAATTGATTCTGGACTGAAAGCAACTTCTCTTGAACTGAAAAAGTTTCTAGCAACAGTGGGTTATCCAAGAGGACATGGGTAAAATTTAAATTTTGATGATTGTGTATTTCAGGGAAGTGTTGTACACATCCCATCAGAGAAATCTTATTGTCAGAGAATGAAAATTTAAGTTTACTGAAAAAAAATTACTGATTGCAGTTTTAATTTGAACTCACATCTCACTCTAGTCCACCCTTCTCAGTGTGCCGCTCTAGTGGATCTGCCTAATTCTCCCCTTTGGCTCCAGAGCAACCCCTCTTCTCCCTGGCCAAGCGTCCCCCTTCTCTCGGCGCTGACTGCCATGGAACAGTCCAGCTCCCCTGAGTCTTTCCTCTCTGGTACCTTTGATGCTCTTGCCTTCTACTCTCTGCTGTGTGGTGGGCTCTAGTCCACCCTTCTCAGTGTGCCGCTCTAGTGGATCTGCCTAATTCTCCCCTTTGGCTCCAGAGCAACCCCTCTTCTCCCTGGCCAAGCGTCCCCCTTCTCTCGGCGCTGACTGCCATGGAACAGTCCAGCTCCCCTGAGTCTTTCCTCTCTGGTACCTTTGATGCTCTTGCCTTCTACTCTCTGCTGTGTGGTGGGCTGTGATTATGTGTTCCCTGGATCCCTGGATCCCTGGATAGTGTGGGAGGCAGGTGGGGAGGCCTCTGCAGGTAGGCTCGTTTTCCTATAGGAATATTACTGCTGCACTCTGAGACCTGAGGTCCTAGGGGAGAGAAACAGGAAGCAGATCTGTTGTTCAGGAGAAGCATCGGCAGCACAACAGGACCTTTCTCTTGGTTTGAGAGAATGTGAATTGATTCTGGACTGAAAGCAACTTCTCTTGAACTGAAAAAGTTTCTAGCAACAGTGGGTTATCCAAGAGGACATGGGTAAAATTTAAATTTTGATGATTGTGTATTTCAGGGAAGTGTTGCACATCCCATTATCAGAGAAATCTTATTGTCAGGGAATGAAAATTTAAGTTTATTGAAAAAAAATTACTGATTGCAGTTTTAATTTGAAGTTTTAGGAATTGCTTAAGAGATTCTATATTGTATCTCACTGTAAAAAGAAGTCCAGGCAGCTTACATGAAAATATTTTAAGGTCATTACAAAAAAAAAAAAAGAAGCCATAAAATAAAGATCTCTTGATTTCAGTGAATACACAGATCCAGAGTTTGAGAAAAGAAAATTAAAAGTAATACAAATGTGCTTGTGACAACATTTCCCGAGTGTCCTGTGCATGCCAGAAACGGGACACTGTCAAGGAATGGGAAGACTTTGTGAGATGACCCAGGAAGCGCCCAGGTTCTAGCAGATGCCGTCTTGGTGATCCTTGGTTCTCTCCTGCTTGCTGCTGCGGCTGATCTGCTGCGACACGGATTGTGCAGTGTTGGAGCGCAGTTGCCCGTCAGAGTTGCCATGTTATTACTGTGCCCAAACGTAGAGTCCAGAAGACCTGGAGCTGTGGGCGAGGTGCCCCAGATCGGGTAGATTCGCAAGTCCCAGAGGCAAATGGGACTCCTCCTGCAGTGCCCACTGGGCGTGACTGCTGCGTGCAGCGCGAGGCGCCTTCTCAGGAAGGGCCGGGGTCCTGCTCAGCCAAGAAGGGGCTACGGTGAGCGGCACCTGGAGACCGCAGACCTCGGCGTTTACTGATTCATACAATTATTCTCCCCACCAGTGGGAATCAGCAGCTGTTGAGTTATTCACTGTGAAATTCTTCTGTTTTCTACCACTGAAGGCCTGGAGCGTTCCCTTCAAGCGCGGCTTCTTCGTGATTTGTGCTGCATTTGTCCTCTTTGGCCCCGTGGAGCCACTGTGCATCTAGGCGGGCGCCACCCCTGCATCACTTCTGCTGCTTCAGAGGGAGATGGGGGTGGAGAGGAATATGGAGTTAGGAAGAAATGAAATGACCCGTGGAATATGGGGGAGGGAGGCTTTAATATTTGATTACCACAATTTTTAGATTATAAGTATTTTCAATATATGTACACAATCTTTTGAAATTTGAATCATGTAAGAGTGTAACGTTTTCAGTAAAACTTTATTAAAATGTAAATATGAAATTAATCATTATTGGTACAAATATGACAAAGACGGAATTAACTAGAATTAAAAAGCATGTTCAATTCTTTATTTGAAGTGAATGAAAGATATTTTGAATAATGTTGGACTTGTGAACTATTTGTTAACATTTTGCTCACACTGATAGAAGTACAGTTTCAAAAAACTTCAAAAAACTACGAGACATGCTTCAGATTTAAATTTTAAATGTGGTGGCAGATAGAAAAGAAGAAAAAAGTGTATAAATGAGAACATGTGGACTAGGAAAGTCGAACACATACTTAGGCACATGTTAATCATAAATACAAATATAAGTTCATCGTGAAAAATATAATTTGGGAGAAAATAACAGATGCGAAAATTTCAAAAGAAAAAATACAACAGATGTGTGTTTGGCAATTGGTTTGGCAGAGCAAAGAGGTATGGAATCTCACTGGCTGCAGCAAAATAAGTGAATAAGAAATTCATTCGGTTAACTCAAGCTTTTTTGAAAGGGAGGCACCTGGAATTCGGTAAAGAGGATCAGAGCCTGTGGAACCCTAACCAGGATATTTTGTGAAAATTGAATATGCAGATAAATTAGGTGAAAGTGTTCATCCCTTTTGCTCACACAAACAGGCAGTGATCACACTTTAAAAGTACTGGACTCCATTATTTTTAATATCCATTTTTATTGTTGCATCATAATCATAGATAAATGTAATCATTCCCTAAGTGTATATAGCCCAGTAATGATCACAAAATAAATATATTCTGTGGTCTCAAACAGATAGAAACAATTTTGTTAAATGGTCTACAGGCACTTGAAAATGATATGTATTATGTAACTGCTTATATTTAATTGTTAATTAGATAAAAGTTCTTCAGTGATGTAATAAGATTTAAGAAACCTACTGAAATTTTTGTTTGTTTGTTTGTTTGTTCTGCTTTGCTACATTACCAGGGATATGTAATGGAGTCTATTATTATCATTCTGAATTTACATACTTATTTTTGTAGTTATCACAACAACTGTCCCTTGCACATCACTCATTTGAAACTGTTATAACTGCTTTTCATTTTACCAGCTATTACTTTTGAATTGATAAATTCCTCATACCAAGTATCAGGCTGAATGATTAAGGCTTCTCTTCTCTTCACAGTCTTGACTTGAGTGTTCTCACTGCCCAGGGTGCTCTCTGAAGTTATGTAAACATATTTCTCTACCTTTTCTAATTGTTCTTGGCAGAAGGATTGGCTTGAAACAAATAATATTCTGGTAAGTGTAGAAATATCCATAACATTTCATACATTTCAAGTGTTCTACATCTTAATTTATGGTACTTTCCTGTATTCTTAAATACAATGATTGGTAATTTTCTTCTTTTGAGAAGGTAAAATTTCAAAGAATAATTTCCAAAGGTCTACATTGTAAATTACAATAACAAATGTAATGACAGAAAAAGAGGGAGCCAAATCTTATTGGCCCTGATTGTCACATTGAATCTGGCTTAGTATTAAATATCATAGAAGGTAACACATTTCTGTTTTCACAATATAACATTTTTCGGGTTCAGCCCTCCTGACCCTGAAATTGTCTCAGAGCCTAGATTTCAGAGCAATAGAGACATAAAGATTGGACAAAATGGAGACAAATGAGCATCTTATGTGAAAGAATTGCTCTAGGATGGAATTGAAAAGTATATACTAAATTGACTGTGACCTCACAAACATCTGAAGACAAACTATCTATTGAGACTCTCCATGTTTTTAGCAGCCTTAAATGTAAAAGTAAGCATGTGTAAGAAGCCTGTAGATTCGCCATGCGGTCTTAGGAAAAAGAAGTGAGTTGCTAAGATTCTCACTGTACGCTAGGCCCTTTGCCATCTCATCCGTCTCTCTTCTGATTATCTCTAGCTGTGGGATGTCTTTCACCAGGTTCTCTAAATATATTTCTTCCTTTTGTTCCAGGGAATAATCCCTTCTTGACTACTCTGGCCATCTGTGGAGTTTGGCCTGCCATCAGTGGGCTATCTCTCTACCATGTGGTTATAGGCAACTTTTTTGGGGGAGTGGGGTACTGGGGATGGAACTCAGGACCTTGTGTTTGCCAGACAGGTGGTAGAACCACTGAGATAAATCCCCAGCCCCTAGGCAACTTCTTATTTTTTCTTTCCTCATTGAGTTTATTGGTACATTTTAGTTATAGAGTACAGTTACATTCATTATTGGGATCTCGTAAATTTACATGACAAGTCTTGGTTCTCATTTTTTCCCATTGTTCCTGCCCTCCCTTCACCCCCTCCTCCCCTCCCCATTTACAAACATTTTATTTCCATTTTTTCATTTTCTCATGTATTTTTTTCTTTCCCTTATTACGTTTCCCCTACCCTTCCCACTTTCCCTACACCTTTAGCCCTTTTCTTCTTATTTTACATTGTCAATTATATCATTAGGATCTTATGTATTATTGCAGATTATTCACACCAGGGAAACTATTCGGTATTTACACATGTGTGACTTATTTATTTCACTTAGGAGTATATCCCAAATATGTATCAATTTTCCTACGAATGAATCTAATTTCTCATTCTTTATGGATGAGTAGTATTCCATTTTATAGAAAAACCACATCTTCTTTATCCAGTTTCCAACTAATGGTCAAATGGGCTGTTTCCAAGTTTCAGCTATTACAAACTGTGCCGCTATAAACACAGGTGTGCATATATCACTATTATATGATTCTTTTAATTCTTTTGGAAAGATACCCAGCAGAGGGATGGCTCTTTGAGGTATCTCCATATTGATTTCCACAGTGGTTGCACCAGTCTGCACTCCCACCAACAGTGGAGAAGGGTTCCTTTCTCCCCACAACCCCGCCAACATTTGTTATTATGTGATTTCTTGATAGCAGCCATTCTTTGTGAGGTGAGGTGGAATCTCAGTGTTGTTTTCATCTGCATCTCTTGAATGACCAGTGATGTGGAGCATTTTTTCATATATTTACTTGCTTAGGCAACTTCTTATGCTAATCACATTTGTGACTCTACCTCCATGTTTCCATTTACTCTGCTTCTGTAAGTGCAAGCTAACTCCTCGAATGTTTAAAATTCATAACCAAAAATTTCATTGATTTATGGGGGACAGAAATGCTGGTTTAAAATTGATTCTAAACCTTATTACAGGATGTCCAGTGTACAGAGGGATGGGGAATGCCAGGATATAATACTTTATGTGCTCTGTGAGTGGAAGGGACCTTGTCTCTTTTGTCACTTCTTTGACTTTAGGGCCTAGAACTTGTGACTGACTCATTGAATGTGCTCAGTAAATTCTATTTGACTAAACTACAAAAGGGTTAAGGAGCTTTAGCTTTTGCTCCATTGATGTACGTTGCTGGTTAATAGTTCAGACTCTGGAATCTGACCAGCTAGATTACAGTGCTGGCACTTGGATGTATAGGTGTGAATATGATGCCTACTATACCAAAGCACTAGCTTTTCATCTGAAGTATAATAATTGCATTAATTTTATCTCCATGTTGTGGTACAGAAAGACTGAAACATTGGAGTGTCTAAGATTATTTGTTTCTTTCTCTGAAAATTCAATTATAACATCTTTATGTAATTTCAAATTCTTAAAAAGCATGTCCAATCAGATAGAAATTATTAATGTCTATAAAGAGGATAGTTGCCTCCTTGACATTTCCTGCAAGGGGGATTCAGAATTTTGAATAACAAGCACAAATTTGTAATTTTGGGGTCTCCCAACCTGGGGCCTTTGTGAAACCAGGTGAATTCCACGTAACAGTTTCTATGGGATGGCCCCTTTGAAATAGCTGGAATGTAACACACTTCACCTCCCCTCTAGTGTAAATGGATCAATAGATTTCTAAGGACATATTCTAACTCCAAATTTCTTTTTTCATATGAGGAATACTGTGTTTTTTTCTTTTTATTGAGTTTATTGGTACAATCTAGGTATACAATACAGTTACATTCATTATTGGGATCCTGTGCCTTTACATAATAGGTCTTGGTTCTCATTTTTTCCCTCTGTCCCTTCCCTCCCTTCACCCCCTAATCCCCTCCACATTTGCAAACACTTTATTTCCATTTTTTCATTTTGTCATATTTTTTTCTTTTCCCTTATTCTCTTTCCCCTACCTTTCCCACTTTCCCTACACCTTTAGCCCTTTTCTTCCTATTAATTCACATTATTAATTATCCCATTAGGATCTTGTGTACTATTATAGTTTTTCACACCAGAGAAACTATTTGGTATTTACACATGTGTGACTTATGTATTTCACTTAGGAGTATATCCTCAATATGTATCCATTTTCCTATGAATGACTCTAACTTTTCATTCTTTATGGCTGAGTAAGGAATACTGTGTTTTCATAAACAATCTTTGCTCCATTCCTGCCGCAGGTCTGCAAGGTAATGGAAAACCTCATGCCATGAAGTGTGCTGTAAAATATCATCAGTTCTGTGTATTTTTTTTTTTTATCACACATAACCTAAGAACTATGTACATCTCCTCTCTAGTTCATTGCCAGACTGTGGAAAAACTCCTATTAGACACCATGTTTTAAGGTACCATGGGTTATATAATGAGTAAGCTAGGAACACCTGCGATTATAGAAAACAGACAAACCAAAGGTCCCTTTTTACTGTGGCCCTTGACTACACTCTGAGTCTTTGCTCTGACAGCATCCGGACAATGCTATGACGAATCTCCTTAGTCTTGATACTGTAGACAATGGGGTTGACCACAGGTGGGAAGAAGAGGTAAGCATTGGCCATCATGGTTTGCAGCAGAGGAGACACATGGTGTCCAAAGCGATGCACCATGGACAAACTAATCATAGGTACATAATAAGCAAGCACAGCACAGATATGTGAGCCACATGTGCTGAGTGCTTTCTTCCGTCCTTCTCCAGTGGCAATGCCTAGTACAGTGTAGAGTATGAGCCCATAGGATACCACAATGAGCAATGAATCCATCCCAAAAGTGGAGATAACAATAAAAAGGCCATAGATATTGTTGACAGAAACATCCCCACAAGGTAGGTGAATAAGGTTCGGGTGGAGACAGTAGGAATGAGAGAGGGCATTATGGCCACAAAAGGGCAGTCTCTGTAAGAGCATAGGCAATGGGGCCATGAGCATAATGCTTTTCAGTACAAGGATAGCTCCTGTGCCAAAGATGCGGGGCAGAGTCAGGATAGATGTATAACGCAAGGGTCTATAGATGGCCACAAAGCGGTCCACAGCCATGGCCAGCAGCACAGCTGACTCCACAATGGAGAAAGAATGGATGGAGAACATCTGGAGCAGGCATGCTTCAAAACTAATCTCAGTCATGCCAAAAAGGAATATGCCAGCCACTGTAGGGAGGGTGGACACAGAGACACCAACTTCAGCCAGTGCCAACATAGCAAGAAAGAGATACATGGGCTGATGTAGAGCAGGATCTGTTCTGATGACGTGAAGAATGATGCCATTCCCAAGGAATATAATGCAGTACATCAGGCAGAAAAGGATGGATATCCAGATGCGTTCTGCCTTCAGCCCTGGGATACCAACCAAAATGAATGTCACAGGTAAAAATCCCAAAGAGCTATTGGAATTTTTCATGTTCTAATCTCATCCCATGGGATCAGTGCCGCCGCAGTGAAAAACAGACTAGTGAGGTAACATTATTATGGAGAAAGTTGCCTGGCACTGAGGAAAGGGAAGCCGAGAGCGAACTTAGATTCATGTGGCCAAAGGTCTCATTTCTGAAAATTGGTAGACGATCTCCTCATTAGGAAATTCTGAATGTGAAAGATGTTATAGTATCCATTACAGGGAAGTTCTAGGCTGATAGAACTTATGAAAATTGTTGTGCACCTTATATCATCTAAGAGAGAAATGATTGCATTGTGTTGGTGTGGAGATGTGTGACCAGAGAAAGCCACAAGGGAGACAAAAAATATGTGAGTCATCCAAGTATAAGATGTGTGATAATGTTGGGAATAGGTGAGCAGATATAATTGATAAATGTATCGATACAAGGCGCAAACCATGATGTATAAAACAACTTAATATCTGATAAACTTATATGGTTGATTGGGGTCCAAGTGAAGATAAGATAGTGTACGAGGAGTGGAGTAAGTAATAGAGTTCAAGCAGGAGCAGTAGTTAAACCTAGGAGCTTGGGCCCAATTGAGTTTAGCTTTTCTGAAGTTTAAAAGGAACTGGAAGCAGCTGGGGATTTAGGTCAGCGGTTCCGCCGCCTGCCTCACAAGCTCAAGGTCTGGAGTTCAATCCCTGGTACTGGGGGGAGCGGGGGAGAAGAAAAAGAAAAAGTATTGTAAGAAACTAGAATGATTGTGTACAAAGGACTAAATCATTCAGGAAGAGGTAAAAACCTAGGTTGGCGGATTTGTGTGCAGTCTTTAAGGTTCACAAAAATATGGTCATGATGAAATCCAAGATCTCTTGCCTTGTACTTCTCAAACACAACTTACTTCATCCATTGGTAGTGTGCTTATGGCTCAGATACTCTGTCAAACTCATGGCAGCAAAAACACTAGGTGCCTCTGAATCTTCAAGGAGTGTGCTCCTGGCCAGGAGAAAGAAGGCAGCAGAGAGGCCAACTATCTGCCTAGAATGAACAGAATATTATCAGAGTGAGTTTAGTAATAACTGGACTGGGAGGTTAGGAGGAACTTTTGCAGGTAGTTTTATTCACCCCAGCTCCCCACATGTCTCACACACATACACATTTGTTTGCCTATTCAAACATACATATGCATAGTTTCCACATTTGTTGAAAATCTGTTTGTATCTTCCCTAGTATGAATTCCCCTTCTGCCACTAGTGAACTTACCCATGAAGGGAGACCTTATTATTCCATGTTGGCTATTATTACATTTTTCTCTGATTTGCAGACCTACAATCATTCAGTGCTCCTGTCTGTCAAGCACTATGTAGGATTTTGTCAACACAGAGTCCTGGCTCTACTCAGATCCCTGCAACTTTCAGTATCTGCTCACAGACAACACATCTCTCACACTGTTCAAATATGACTGTGAAATACCCTGAAGACCTCTTTCGGATATTAATCCTACAAAAGAAAAGTTTAGAATATCATAAAAGGGACCTAGGATGGAAAAAATCTGATTCATTTTTAAAAGTTAAGGAAACTTCCTTTAGAAGAGATATTTAAGCAGGTACTTGAGGAGTTAGAAGATATTTTCCATATAAAATGGAAAAGCATGATCCTGAAGAAAAAAATGTGGTGGGTACCTACATTGGGCATCTAAGACAGTACTTTAGGTTAAAACATAGAGAAGAATGAAACTATTGATATCCTGGTATCACTGATTTTTTTCATAATTTTTCTTTCGTGAAAATACGGGATGAAACAATGAAAAACAAATTCTTTGGCTGCCTAGATATGGAATCCCTGGGCACTTAACATTCTCTTGATGTAGTTTAACTCAGTATATATCAGTCTAGAGATAGCTCTGTGTGTAGTTAACAGCTAAGTGTGTGTAGTTAAAGTAGTGAAGTTCGGAGGTGGGAAAACCTTGTCTGAAATGATCACACCTGTCTGGAGGACAAAGGAGGTGTTTATTTTCTTCATTTGTTTCTCCCATTTTCATGTTTCTTCTTTCCCTCCAAGAGACAAATATATCCTTTTAGTTCTTTACGTACGTAAACTATTAGTCTACCACTGGATTGAGTAGCTCTTCCTCCCATATTGCCTTGATTCCCTCGTGTCCTGTTCCTTGCCTGCCACACTTCTAGTAAACTGACGCTGGAAAGGACAAAACTTCAGATACTGGAGGCAAGTGTCTCTTCTCTCTTAGTTTTTCTGTCCTTCTGTACTTTTTGCGTTTCTTTTCTGCTCTCTGTCTCTCTTGCAGTTTTGCATCTATCTCCTGTCTTGTATGTCCCTGGCCAGTTAGGATCAGGTTTTCTTGGAAGAGATCTTAAATACAATCATTCTCCTGAGCTTGCATGGTTCAACAAGAACATTTTAGGTTGGGAGGTGACAAAAGGGATTATTGAGATTTTAGTGGAGAATAATAAGGCAGAAAGAATCAACAAGAGGAAGACAATGTGATACAGCGAATCCTTTACTCCTGGTACTGGATAGAATTAGAGATGAATCGTTGGTACAGTATAACATTATTTTTGGCACATTTGCTTCTTTATTCGTAAATACAGATATGTTAATATCTACCTTACATGCAGCATTCTCATCCATACATCATTCTCAGTATTTAACACAAGCCTTTAGCACCCAGTAAATGTTATTACTTCTTACCCATGAACACATACACTGTCTCCTCTGTCAGGCACTCTCTGAAGACATTAATTATCATCACCTTATACACAATTTTGTATTTATAATGCTCTTCCCAGTCACTGCCTTACTGGTCACATCTGTGAGGGGAGCATAAAGACAGGGAGCTCCCACTTAGTGGATGAGCATCTCAGTAAGATAATTTCATTGCATGGGGAACTAAAAATAATGCAAATACCAAACTATGTGTATAATCACGGAGTCCTCTGATGTTTCTGTTTTATTTTTCACATGCCATCCAATTTAGGAAATTCTTCCTCTCATTCAACCACACTGGGTCAGAATGCTGGGGAGGCAACTGCTGACTAGGGAAAAACCTAGGAGCTTCGCTGTGGGGTAGAGCTAAGACTCACTGGAAGTTATTTTAGGACGCCGGGCTGGAAGGCCTAGAGTGTGAGCACTCACCATGGCATCAAGGGGGAACAGGAAGTTCAGTGCAACAAGGCCCTGCCACCTTGGCATTCTTACCTTCCTGGTGTTGGAGCCAGAATGCTTGCTGCTTTCCTCATTCTAAGCAATCTGAAGTTCTGGGAGTGTAGCAATAGGAAGGGAGTTAGGTTCCCTGAGGAGCAATTACTCAGTTAATAATATCATACTTTCTCAAAAATAAAAATCACTAAGGGAAATAAGAAACAATATTGAAGTAAATATAATTATCGAGTAGGGTAACTAAGCAGTTAATGGGTACAAATTACGTAGAAATGGTATCACCTGTAAAATAACAGTTATTTGTTTATTATATTTTTTTTTTTTTTTTTTTTTTTTTTGGCACCGGAGATGGAACTCGGGACCTTGTGCTTGAGAGGCAGGCAATGGAACCACTGAGCTAAATGCGCAGCCCAGTTAATACAACTATTATGGGACAGTTTTATCTTACAGAAATATTTTTTTCAGTGGTCATCAAGTATTACTTTTATGAACATGTTTTTATGAAATAAGTAACAGGACCGAGAATTGTTAGTGTCTGGAGAACATCAAGGGTGCTGAATTTCAGGAGAAGACAGAATCCAAGGGCTTGAGTTGTGGACAGGAAAAGTTCCAGATTGGGCTGGAGTGAAAGTGGGGGAAAGACTGATTTGAAAGCTGTAGTCACTAGATTTTCCAGGCACAGGTAGGTAGAGAGAGTTGACACAAACAAACAATGAAGATACTCCAGGAGGAATATTTCCAGGAATCTTGAGTAAGGGCAGACAAGAACATGAACGCTAAGAGTATGAGACTCCTAGGTAATACTCATTCAATAATGCAGGAAAACATTGCTATGCTTTATTGCAGAAGACACATTATAAAATATCAAGAAGTAACCCACTGAAACTATCAGAGTAAACCCATCTAAGACAAGAGTGGAAAACAGGTAGATGCATATAAATACTTATTCCAATATGTTAAATATGAAGTTATCTGGCACAGCAAGAGTTCTGAAAAAAGAATTTTGGACACACTGATGGCAAATATCTAGGATGAGGAAAGTGAATTTATATAGGACACAGGCATTGCAGGTAAATTAAGAAAATCATGGTTTACAACAGATAGAAAGGTTTGGAGATCAGAAATACTCTTGGACACCCAACTACTTGAATGTCTCAGATAAAATATCCCCAATTTATTGGACTTGGACCATTTTGCAAGTCAAGTGTATGAATGAACTTTTCAGATGAATAAGATAAATATAGTTATCAATGATTTATTATAATAAAATGAACATCTTCAAAGGGAAGAGGGGTACAAGTGGGTTGTGGTTTTAAAAGCCAATGACTACATTTTTATTCTTATCTCCCTCAGAAGCTTCCTATTCTGTGAAGGACAGAACCTTTGTATATCGTGTAATACCAGTCTAAGTTTCAGTGAGCCTGAGAAAGAGAGAAAAGAGGCCCAATGTTAGTAGCCACCAAGAAACATGCTAATAGGTGGGCAGAGACGGACCAGAGAAGATGCTGTCCAGGGAGAATGGAGGTTTATGAAGGAAAAGAGTGAAATAACGAACAATAATGAAGCATTCCCAAGGGGAAAGGAACTATGTTTATAAAAATGTGTCAAAATAATAATTAATGACAAACTTTCTTAGAGAAAAAGGAAACTGCATTCATATTTTCAGTTTATATTACTTGGTAGGTGACCCTGTATTCTGAGGCCAACTACCAGGTAATATAATACTGAGGAATTTAAAATCAGCTGGGAATAAAAATCTATTTTCTGGACCTGTTAAGTTCTGTCAAATATGAAAACATACCTAACAGGGTTGTAAGATTGGGTAAAATATCATATTGAGACTTTTACA